AAAAAAAAAAAAAATACAACCCAACACTACGTACTATTTCTTTTCCTCAAATAAAAGAAGAAATAACTTGCTTTGAAGGACCCTAGTTTTACTCATATGTATGTCAAAACTTTAAAAAGCCACCCACAACCACAAAACCGTATGTTGGGACCAGTAGCTGTTCTTCCAGACCTCCTGCTCTTTCTCTCAGCAGCAGCCTTGGAGATCTGCCACCTTCCATTTCAAAGCCCCAAGGTTGCCATGGCAGCAGTGCTACAGACAGCACAGCCCCTTCATTACACGAATTAACATTCGGAAGGGATTACCTCAGAAAGGACCTATCCACGCAATTATTTTAATTATACTTCCCTGGGAACTGGCATTGGTAAAAACCATCATGCATGCAGATGATTTCCCTTTTAAAGCACGTTTTTGTCACAATAAATCTGATCAAAATGATTTTACACAAATGACTTTGGCTTCAAGTATGGTCACTGAATTCCAAAAAGACTAAAATGACCATCTAGAAATGGAGGCTGCTGAAAATGGACTTCAATCTTTTAAAAAAATACCTCAAAAAGGGAAAAATCACAAGGAATGGAATTTTTAAAACTTCCACTGACATTATGTATTTAGTACCCGTTTCCGTAAATCCATTCATTTTAGAAAAACCTTTACAATGAAAATATTCCCTACTTTGCTTCTGATGTTTGTGATGCATCCTTTGATGTTATTGTTCTACCATTACTGTTTGCTTTTACAGACTAAATTCTAGCCTAAGCTTATCTGAAAAGAATGTTGCTGGCTATCCGACCTAAGCTAATGCATCATACATAGACATGAGTCAAAACTAAATTTGTTTTCTGTCTTAAGACTACTTCCCAAGAAAAAAAAGCTTTTCAAACTCCTCACTTCCTCTCTCCTTAGGGTGAGATACATAAGCTGACACAACTTTAACCAGTCTGTTTAAACTTTTGGTGACTAATAAAAGGACGGAAAAATTGAGAAAGAAAGATTCAAGCTCTGCCTTGCATTATAAGTGCCAGCTGCTCCTTGTTATGCCAGGACTTGGAGAAAGAGTTACAGAGCATGTTACATGGTTCATAACATATCAAAATGCAAATTTAGGTTTTGGTTAACCTATAATTGCCTTGCAGAAAGTGCTGTACATATATAATATAAAGCTACATGTTAATGAAGCAAATGAAAATTCATCTCCGTTCCTTCAAAGAACAGCTGATTGGGGGCGGGGGGATATAGATTATTTCCTGGAAACTGCCTGAAAGAAGAGTTTGGATAAGAGCAGAAAGCACCCTTGGCCACCTACCCATTTTGCTGTTTACTGTCACCCTGGGATCCTCTTCTCTGCCCCTCTGCTAGCTCCTGAGCAGTCTCGGAACACACGCTGGTGACTGTGGGCTGCCGTGGGACATTAACTGCAGGTTTACCAGCGCTCAGTGCAGACGAATGCTGGTCAGCACTAAGATTGGCATTAGCATGCAGTCCAGATGCAGCGAATGAGGGAGGAGTGACAGCAGCCACGGGTGGAGGGGAAGCGTGTGATGAAGTGGTCGCATGGGGTGGGGTGAAGGCAGACGATGGTGACGGGATGGATGTGACTTTTGGTGAAGACACAGAACCAAAGGGTCGTGGTGCCTTATTGTAGGCCGTGTTGGTTGTGGAAGTGACTTTGGACACAGCAGGAGATGGAATGGGCACAGGTTTAACTACTTCTTTAGGTTCTCCCTATGTGAAATAAAAATAAACACACACAAAAACACACCATATACATGCAAGATAGATTCACTGAAAAGAACACACAGCTGGTTTTTAAAAAGACAAACACAATCGTGTTAGCAGCCCAAACTTTACATGTTTCTAGATAAAACAATGAGCATAACATGCATGAACTGGTCCCAACATGCGTAACACGATGCACACAATGAGTATATTTTTTATAAAAATGAAGTAAGTTTCAAAATATTTAGGAACTCAGAGCAGGACACTATCAAAAAGACTAAACACGTCATCATACGTGTCAATATACACTTTAAATTTTCCAAAAGGAAAAAATTTAAATACCCCACAATAAACAAAATATTGCCAATAGAAACATTTAAAATATCCAGAGTCTTAATTATAATTTCATCTTTTAAAAATGTTTACTCTCCAGAGTATAGAATTTTGACTCATGAGGAAACAGCAGCACATTTTTAAGTGTTCAATTTTTTTAGTATGCTAAAATGGAAGAACAAAGACCATTTTCATCTAACTCAGAAATGTGCACATTCTGATGAATCATTGTGAATGAATATATTACTTAAAAGAAAAATGTCAACAATCCACCTGTTTCTCTCTCTGGAATGTTTTGAGATATTATTTGGAGATAGAATAAAATTCTTTCCCTTTTCCAAAATAAATAGTTAATAGTTACATGAGGAAAAAAATGATCTTAGATGTTTCTTCATTGCCGTTTCTCAAAGAAAAATTAACTACTAAGAAAGGTCAATTCCGCCCAAAATGTTAATTTGTATTTGCAAATCCCTATTCCAAAGAAAGTGTAAAGTTAAAAAAAAAAAAAAAAAGTTCCTATGACATTCATAAATAAATACCTACTCATCCTACCATCCCAAAAGAAAAACAATCAATTTTTTAAAAAACTTACAATGTGGCTCTATTATATTTAAAAAAAATAAGTAATAATCTAAATTAATCTTATAGAAATAATAAAGCTAATTGAGGGGGGAAAGTAACTTAATGTCTCAGCACATCAACATAAAGAATTCAATAAAAAGGACAAGTGAAATAAAGGGGAAAAGCCCCCAAAAGTATAAACCAGCTGTATGCGAATAATGGTTTGGGACATTTTGAGGATATATATGAGAGAAAAAAGGTACCTGTCAATAACCTAATCCAAAATACTCTAAAAATGCAATTAAAAATCTATTAATATTACTAATAAAATGTTATTAAAGAGTTGTGATACTCTTTTTCAGTATACATTTACTTTCTTTAAATTATGTGACTTAAGATAGGCAAATTAAAAGTGAACGTGGATGTAAGAAATATGGACATAAGTTATTGATAATATATGGCCCTGGAAATCATGCTTTAATAATATAGGTACAATTACAGACTCTAATTATGTGTTGATTTCCATCCCTCCGCCCCCAAATCTTTAAAGGAAAAGAACTGTGAGGAAAATTATACTGAAACTATAAATTGTCACTATGGTCTAAGACAGGAAATGGAAATAACAGTGATCCAGGAAGGACTATCAAGTGGTACCTAGCGATACTAGATGAGAAACATACCTTTTGAACGGGGACTGGCTCAGGCTTGGGTGTAGCAGAGGCCCTGAAGAGAAAAAAAAAAAGAAAGAAAAAGGGGAAAAAAAAACACATAAATTTTTGCAAACATCTAGTTAATGGAATTTTTATTAGTATATACCTTAATATATCATCAGAATTTATAGCTTCATAATTCATAATCTTGACTATTCATAATCTACTAATTAATTAACTCACGTAACTCAAAATGCTGCAAGTACCAACATCCTTAAACACTAAGTATTCATTAGTTCTCTACTTACTCAAATGAGGGAAGACAAACACCAATCATGTTTCCTAATGCACCCGTGTTAAGCTTTCAAGTAAGGTTATTCCCCACCCAAAAGGGAAAAGTATACTAAACATGACTTTCTCATCCCTGGGAAGTTGAAAATACCTTATCTGAACCTGTGTCTCCAACAGTACCTGCCTTTTCTCCTACCTAACATCCATGAATACGTCCACAGGATATCGGGTCTCTACGAAGATACTGAATAAATTCTGGTTGAACTCGGTCACTAAACGAGTATTTATTTTGCATTTATATTCTTATGTGTTTATGCAAGTTAATATTTGATACACTAAAACTAAACTGTAAGTTCTTCCATTAGGCTATAATTTCAGTGAAGAAATGACCATGTCCCATTTGTGTGTCTATATCAGCACTGTGCCTGGCATGTAACAGGTTATCAGTAATGAGTGTGAAAAGGAGAGAACAAGGAAAGAAGGACAAAAATTCATGCATAGAACCTATTTCAAAATTCAAATTAACTATTTTCGATATATGCTTTTTTGTATTATTATTGTCATTTTGATTAGCATGGACTAACAGTAACAATAATTGACTTAGAACAATTATCTCATATAATCATGACAAATTAACCAAAGTAGCAACTATCATTATCCCCATTTTTCAGATGAGGTATTTCAAAGTTTACAGTAAGTAAATTATATAGGGTAGAACTTATATATACTTATTATATATTGCAATATACAAGTTGTAGTCAAGGATAACTAAATGATCAGGAAAGCTAATAACTTAAAGGCTATTTACCCAGTCTTAAAGTACATATTATGTTTAATAATGCCAGAAGCAATGTGACTCTTCTTATAATACAAGACTATAGATAAGATATCAAGTACAAAATTCAAGAAATGTAACCATAGTAAGTAAATGACAACAATTTTAAGCTACAAACCATGAGGCTGTTTTACTTACAGAGATAACAGATAACTGATAAAAGAAGCTAGCATAGGATATTTGATCTCTATGACTATAACCTAATAATGAACTCCAATCAGCATTTTTTAGCAGCAACTGAATTTTCCAATAACAACCAATTTGATTAGTTAGGGCAAGCACTGACTGAAAAATTGGCTAACCTAATGAGGCTACAATGGATGCTAACACTTGATTACTACAATATAGAATTATACTCTGTGAAGTTGCATAACTTTCCATGTGTACTCTCAAATAGACTCTCAAATTTCTTTTAGCTTATAGGGCTGTTATAATAAGCAAAGGAAACAAGTTCAAGTACAGAACAGTGGAATCTTCCTTTCATTGAAATTTCACAATAAGATGTAATCACAAAGGATCTACTTATTAAAACCACCCAAGATATTATTGGAAGCTTGCCATTAATTGGATGGTTTCCTTTTTCATCTGGACACTTAAAGGTGCATGAAACTATTAGCAATCTAATAACAATTTATAGAAAAGAACATGATGTTTAACAGTCACCAAGTTTCCAAACAGAATAAAATGCATATATCCTATGTCTATGAAAACAAACCTCTCAGTCTTTTCTAGGTGTTACTTCTTAACCAATGTTAGCAATAACAACAAGAATCTCAGAATGGCTAGTTTTCATTAATTTTGGAGTCCAACCTCTTTTTTGTTGAGAAAGCACAGAATAATAATGAGTCCTAAAATACTTAGTGGACTGAAGGTTCTAAAAAAATACTGCTTGAGGGGCACCTGGGTGGCTCAGTCGGTTAAGCGTCCAACTTCGGCTCAGGTCACGATCTCGCGGAAGTGAGTTCGAGCCCCGTGACTGCTCAGAGCCTGGAGCCTATTTCAGATTCTGTGTCTCCCTCTCTCTCTGACCCTCCCCCGTTCATGCTCTGTCTCTCTCTGTCTCAAAAATAAATAAACGTTAAAAAAAAATTTTTTTTAATAAAAAAAATAATAATAAATAAATAAATACTGCTTGAAATCTTGTATTCACAATAGAGCTTAAAATCTGAAACTTGAATGTTTGCCCTGCTTGCTTTCTGATAAAGTCTCACAAGTGCAATGACCCAAACTAAGACAAGCAGTCAGAAAAAAAATGAACAACACACCCTCAAAATTCTGAAATTGAGTCCATTACACATTAAAAGCACAAATATAATTTTGTAAATAAAAAACAGACTTACTCATAATGAAATGTCAAATAGTTGATACTAGAGCCAATAGAAATTAGCTTCATGGGTTTTTATATATATAAATAACCTCAAATGAGTCATAAAATCATTGAAACTGTATATTTCCTTAAAGTTACTAAATCACATGACAAATTTTATATAATTTTATATATTTTTAATTTATATATAAATGTATATTTATTTAATGTATTTAAGTGTAATTACATATTCGTGAGACTAAAACTATTGTGGTGTGAGAAATTAGAATACACGACAAATGAAATCTGCAAAATTAATGAACAGCATTAGTACTACTTTAAAAAATCAAACTTTACAAATTATTACAAAATAAAAAAATAAACATATACCATCTTTTGCTCTCAGACGTGCTGAGATTTTTTTTTTAAATGTTAATACATAATGTTTGTGAGAATACATGTTGCTGGGAGAACTATACACTATTAAAGCTCTCTTGAAAAATAATTTGGTGTTTATTTATATAAAGCCTTGAAGACCACTCATGCCCTTTGAAACAATAATAGTCAATTTCTGGGAATCTATCATAAGGAAATAATTTGAAGTATGTAAAAGATTTTATGTATAAAGATATTAATTCCCTACAGGATAACTTATAATAATGAAAAATTGGAAACAACTGATTAAATAAACAACAACGAGGAAATGGTTAACTGCAATATAACCATATGATGAAACATGCAATGATTAAAATCATTCTTTGAAAGAATCCTGAATTGCATGATAACATGCTAATTTCATGATGTTAAGTGATAAAAGGAAGATATAAAAGAACATATCTAGAATGGTCAGTGCATGGAAAAAAGTAGATGGAAACAGACTTAACATTTTAGTAGCGGCTCTATTTGTTTTTTTCTCTCATGTGTGTTTTGTATGTACATTCTATGACAAGTAAGACTATTTCTCAAAGTATGTTTCACAGAAAGGTACTTTTCAAAACACAAAACAAGAAAGAGTTTCTGTTACTAAAGATATCTGGAAAACTTAAAGTTACATAATTGTGTTAGCCACAGAACTTCTCAGAGCCTTTAAAAAAATTTGAGAGAGAGGGTATGAGTTGGGGACAGGCAGAGAAAGAGAGAGACAGAGAGAGAGACAGAGAGAGAGAGAGACAGAGACAGAGAGAGAGAGAGAATCTGAAGCAGGCTCCAGGCTCAGAGCCTGATGCGGGGCTCAAACTCACAGACCGTGAGATTCACGACCTGAGCTGAAGTCAGACACTACACCGACTGAGCCACCAAGGCGCCCCTTCAGAGCATTTAAATACCTAAAAAAGAAAACATTGCAGATTGTTGTTCATCTATCCCTTTGAACCATGGCATACTAATCTATTTAGAATACTCATTTATTTAGGAAATCTCATTTATCTAGGAAATGCTGTTTTAAAGAAACAGTAAAGAAAGTAAATCTCTGTAAGTCTGAAATGTTTATTTAAGTCTCCTAGAAGCAGCTAATGAAGAAAAAGAAACATTATAATCCATACAATCCCCAAAATCTCTTGTCATAGAGTATCTTCTTTATCTTCAACTTTATTAATAAGACACCCAGAGATTATGAGCATAATTTAAATCAGTGTTTAAGGGAGGAAAATCCCATCTCCTTCACCAAGCTGAAATATGTATTTCCTATATTCCCTGAGAAACTCCTCATATATGATAAGTAAAACTGTATCTCAGAACTAAGATTTTTAGTTATCTATCTTAAAAATAAAATACACGTTAGACTGAGCATCTGTTTTACTTTAGAAATGTCACACATTACTTAAAAAGTCAATCATTTTAAACAGACTTTTAAATAAAATACATAAGCAGTTTTTAAAACTGAGGTATAATTATTAAAAAGCATTCCTACATTTTTTTCTCTTCAAGCCCTAGGAAATATGCAGTGAGATGATATATCTCCCTTTCGACCACAGTGATCATCACAAGTGCCTTCGGTGGAGTGTGTGCTTCAATCCAGCAGAGATTCTGGCAATGGCTCAGTGCCATGGGCTCAACAATAGGCTTATTGTTCTCTCTTCTGTTAGTGCAAAGCCACTGTACAGGAGTAAGCCATGATGGTGAGAGACTAGTGCCTTGGCCCAGTACTATCCCTCAGCTCAAGGAATTCAGAGAACAAAGCCATCAGTGTGGCTATAACAATCTATTTTGAAAGTTGACTGATTTTTTTTTTCAACGTTTTTTTATTTATTTTTGGGACAGAGAGAGACAGAGCATGAACGGGGGAGGGGCAGAGAGAGAGGGAGACACAGAACCGGAAACAGGCTCCAGGCTCTGAGCCATCAGCCCAGAGCCCAACGCGGGGCTCGAACTCACGGACCGCGAGATCGTGACCTGGCTGAAGTCGGACGCTTAACCGACTGCGCCACCCAGGCGCCCCAAAGTTGACTGATTTTTTAAGAGCAGTGTCCAAAATAAAAAATCTCTGATGCACTGCAAACAGTTTCAGAACTTCTGGCCAAACAGTTGAAAGGAATTCTATGACATAATGAATTGTGTTAGAAACTAGAATTGTGTGATGCCCTGGTTACAATAAGGTATAGGAAAAATAAAGCCATAAAGAAGCAATAGCTCTATCAAGGAT